GGCTGGAGTGCAATGGTGTGATCTCGGCTTATTGCAACCTCCACCTCCCGGATTCAAGTCATTCTCCTGTCTCAGTCTCCTGAGTAGCTGGGATTACAGGTGCCCGCTACCATGCCCGGCTAATTTTTCGCATTTTTAGTAGAGACAGGATTTCACTGTGTTGGTCAGGCTGGTCTCGAACTCCTGACCTTGTGATCTGCCACCTCAGCCTCTCAAAGTGCTGGGATTACAGGTGTGAGCCACTTCGCCAGGTCAGTTTTTGTATCTGCTGTAGAGACAAGGTTTCACCGTATTGCTCACACTAGTAATTTTTAGGGTTTGTTTAGTGACAGAAGTCTCACTATGCGGGCTGGGCTGGGCTGGAACTCCTGGCCCCAAGCAGTCCTCCCATCTTGGCCTCCCAAAGTGCTGAGATTACAGGCGAGAGCCACCATGCCCAGCAGCTGAGCAGTCATTTTACACCCAGAGTGGACCCTGCCTCTCCCACGGCTCCCCGGCACCTCTGGACAAAGTCCTCTTCCTCAGCCTTTCTTGTCATGACCAGGTTCTTCCAATGTCCTTGAAGATCCACCTCTGAGAGAAGTTTTCTGACCAGCAGGCTGGGTTTGGGGTACTCTCTGGGCTCCCCCAGTGAGCTGAGCCACCTCAGTGATGATGATAATTGCCCCTCACACAAAGCTGATACTGCCCCTCTCCTGCTCACAGACCTCCCATGGCTCCCCAGTGCCCCTGGGGGGGAAAAAAGGCCCAGGTCCTCTGCCCAAACTGTTTCCTCTAACGGGGCTCCCTTTCTTTCTTCTCTGCTGGGCAAATTCCTACTCAAACTTCTATACACTTCAGGAGTCCCCTCCTTCAGGAAGCCATCCAGCAATACCACGAGGTGGGCAGGGGCCTTGTTGGAGCTCTGGAAGCCACCTGTGTGCCTCCATTAAAGCGCAAAGACAGACCGGGCTCCATGCCCAGAGTGGGAGGGAACAGCGAGGCCCGAGGTGGGTCCCAGATGTGGATTTCACGCCTATTTGTCTCGGGCGCTGGGAACAAAGTTTGGGTCATGAGGAACATATGGGGCCCGCTCTGCACTGCGCTTTCATCTCCTGTCTCCCCAGCCCTGAGTGGGAGGTGGCAGCGCCAGGCCTCTGTAGGCCTGGGTGGTTCCCACAGCCCCTTTGGGCCTCTTCACCCCTCTCTCTCTGCCCTCAACTCCACTGCCTCTGGGAGCCTAGCAAAATCCTCCCCGATCTGTATCTCGCCTTCTAGTTTCAGTCTCCTGGAGGAGGTGTGGACTCGATGAGCGTTTAAATTATATATATATATGCCATGCATGATGACTCACGCCTGTAATCCCAGCACTTTGGGAGGCCAAGGTGGACAGATCATGAGGTCAGGAGATCAAGACCATCGTGGCTAACACGGTGAAAACCCATCTCTACTAAAAATATTTTAAAATTAGCCAAGCATGGTGGCACATGCCTATAGTCACAGCAACTTGGGAGGCTGAGGCAGGAGAATTGCTTGAAGCCAAAAGGTGCAGGTTGCAGTGAGCCGAGATCACACCACTGTACTCCAGCCTGGCCACAGAGTGAGACTCTGTCTTGAAAAAGAAAAAAAAGAAAGAAATAATGTAAGATTGGAGGGAGCGGCCGGGCGCGGTGGCTCAAGCCTGTAATCCCAGCACTTTGGGAGGCCGAGGCGGGTGGATCACGAGGTCAAGAGATCGAGACCATCCTGGTCAACATGGTGAAACCCCATCTCTACTAAAAATACAAAAAATTAGCTGGGCATGGTGGTGTGTGCCTGTAATCCCAGTTACTCAGGAGGCTGAGGCAGGAGAATTGCTTGAACCCAGGAGGCGGAGGTTGTGGTGAGCCAAGATCGTGCCATTGCACTCCAGCCTGGGTAACAAGAGTGAAACTCCGTCTCAAAAAAAAAAAAAAAAAAAAAAAGATTGGAGGGAGCTTATATTTAGTTAAGGTGGTCAGGACCTTCTCTCTGATGCTATGAAATTTGAGCAGATACCTGTGGCAGAAAATTCTAGTGCTTACCAGTTGTGGTAGATATAAAAAATAATGGTGCCCAAACATGTCCATACTCGAATCCCCAGAACTGATGACTATGTTACTTTACACGGCAAAAAGGTACTTTACAGATACATTAAGGTTAAGGACCTTGGCAGGGCGCGGTGGCTCACGCTTGTAATTCCAGCACTTGGGGAGGCCGAGGCGGGCGGATCACAAAGTCAGGAGTTTGAGATCAGCCTGACCAACATAGTGAAACCCTGCCTCTACTAAAAATACAAAAAAAGTAGCCGGGCATGGTGGCAGGTGCCTGTAATTTCAGCTATCTGGGAGGCCGAGGCAGGAGAATCGCTTAAACCTGGGAGGTGGAGGTTGCGATGAGCCAAGATTGCGTCAGTGCACTCCAGTCTGGGTGACAGAGTGACACTCCATCTCAAAAAAATAATAATAATTAAAGTAAATTAAAATTAAAATATGAAAATTAGCTGGACGTGGTGGCATGCACCTGTAATCCCAGCTACTTGGGAGGCTGAGGCAGGAGAATCACTTGAATGCAGGAGGCGAAGGTTGCAGTGAGCTGAGATCACACCACTGCATTCCAGCCTGGTGGCCACAGAGCAAAACTGTCTCAAAACAAGCAAAAAAAAAAAAAAAAAGAGAGAGACATCTTGAGATGGGGAGAGATTCTTCTGGATTATCTGGGTGGCCCCCATCTCCCATCCAAGAACTAACCAGGTCTGACCCTGCTTAGCTTCTGAGATCAGAGAAGATCAGGCACATTCGGGGTGGTTTGGCGGTAGGCTGGGTGCCCCTCATCTAATTACAAGAGTCCTTAAAAGCAGAGAACCTTTCCCAGCCATGGTCAGAAAGAGATGTGAGGATAGAAGAGGCAGGAAAAATGTGAAGCTTGAAAGGGACTGGACCTGTCGTGGTTGGCTTCAAAGATGGAAAAAGGGGTCATGAATCAGGGAATGTGGGTGGCCTCCAGAAGGTGGGAATAGAAAGGAAACAGATTCTCTCTTAGAGGCTCCAGATGGAATGCAGCCTTCTTAGCACCTTGATTTTAGCCCAGTGAAACCCACGTGGGGCTTTTGATCTGTCGAGCTGTAAGATGATAAATGGGTGTTGTTTCAGCTGCTGACTTTATGGTAATTTGTTATGGCAGCAACAGGAAACCAATTCGACAGTTCTTCTCTGTTACCTGCACGTGAGGGAATTCCACTTCCCCACCTTCAGACAACTGAGTGGAACCCCATGAGTAATCCCGAGGCGCGGGGAGTCGTTCCTGGCCAAAGCTGTTTTACTTGCATGAGACCATTCAGTGCTTTTCTTCTTTCCTTGCCTCATTGATCAAGAAGATCTGGGTTATGGCTGCTGCTGCGGGATGGTGAACATCTCAGCCTGGGTCCTTGAGTGACTGTGTGGAAAACCAAACCTTGCCAACTTGCATGGAACATGTATATGAGCAAGAAAGAAACTTTTTTTTTTTCTTTCTTTCTTTTTTTTGAGACAGGATCTCGCTCTGTCAACCATGCTGGAGTATCCTGGCCTGATCATAGTTCACTGCAGGCTGGACCTCCTGGACTCAAGCCATCCTCCTGCTGCAGCCTCCCACGTATGAGGACCACAGGCTACGATGCCTGGATAATTTTTTTTTTTTTTTTTTTTTTTTTTTTGAGACGGAGTCTCACTCTGTCGCCCAGGCCGGAGTGCAGTGGTGCAATCTCGGTTCACTGCAACCTCCACCTCCTGGGTTCAGCCGATTCTCCTGCCTCAGCCTCCCGAGTAGCTGGGACTACAGGCACCCACCACCACACCTGGCTAATTTTTGTATCTTTAGTAGAGATAGGGTTTCACCATATTGGTCAGGCTGGTCTTGAACTCCTGACCTCATGATCTGCCTGCCTCAGCCTCCCAAAGTGCTGGGATTACAGGCATGAGCCACCATGCCCAGCCATAAAACTTTTTTTAAAAGAGGAAGAAACAAATGGACCTTAAATCACATCCTCTCTTCTAAGACTCCCTGAGTATCCTCTCAGTGACTCTCCTGAAAAGATCACCCAAGTTTGAGATGATTTTGCTGTGGGTGGAGAGGCAGAGGTCAGGGTGGCGAGGAAGGTCCCAGGCCATGGCAACCTTCCATTCTGATACTGCCTCCTGCCTTTGGAGCCCCTCCCCTCTGGCCTGGAGGTAGCCATCTGTTGAGTGGGAATGTAGTTTTGCTCGGCACCAAGCAACATCCAGCCACTCTGTGGCTTCTGATTGGCTATTCTCCCAAAAATGAGTCTAGGCAGCACTTCGAGACCAGATGAACCTATCGGAACCCTCTTCAAAGTCTCTTCATTTCTTTCTGAGAGCCTATCTTGAGGCCCATCAGAAACCAAAAGTTCCCAAGTCTGGAATTTTTTTTTTTTTTTTTTTTTTTTTGAGAGGTAGTTTCACTCTTGTTACCCAGGCTGGAGTGCAATGGCGCGATCTCGGCTCACCGCAACCTCCGCCTCCTGGGTTCAAGCAATTCTCCTGCCTCAGCCTCCTGAGTAGCTGGGATTACAGGCACGCGCCACCATGCCCAGCTAATTTTTTTGTATTTTTAGTAGAGACGGGGTTTCACCATGTTGACCAGGATGGTCTCGATCTCTGGACCTCGTGATCCACCCGCCTCGGCCTCCCAAAGTGCTGGGATTACAGGCTTGAGCCACCGCGCCCGGCCCTAAGTCTGGAATTTTCTGGAAATCTGGAACCGCGGCGTCTCCGGTTGTGAGATTTCCCGCCTTTTCCAGCCCCGCCCCGCCCACTGGCCTTTGGCCTGTCATCTGGCAACATCAATCTGACTAGCGCCCAATGACGTCATAAGAGCGCTCTCATTGCATTGGCCACTTTGTCAGGATGCTGTGGTCCTAACTTCAGTTCGGCTTATTGATTCAAGGCCTTGCTCGCTTCCCTCTAGAGACTGTACCAGCGTCAATCAAGGGTCTGTAGACAGAATTCCCTGATATTTGAGACTTTATTGGGGAAGATGGATCACTGGCGGGGAATTAGCCACAGGCCAAAGGAGGGACTGCTGGAACCAGAAATCTTGGTCGCCGCCTATTTGCTAAAAGTTCTGCACGCCTGCGCGGCGTGGCGCATGCACAGTGACGTCGGGACTCTGCGACGTCTGATTGGCTCTCTACGGCGCACCATCGAGGTAGGAGGCTCAGCTCCCCGTCGCTCCCAAGTTATTTTGTTGGCGTTCGAGGCGGCCCCAGCCCATGTTTAGTGCTCTGTCGTGGGTGGGTCTGGGTGTGGGTGCCCGCAGGCCGCGGCAGCCTCCGGCACGCTCCTCTTGCTGCAGCCGCCTCAGGGGCCGAGCCCAGCGCGGCCTCCATGGCAGCGCCAGGCCGTGGCGGTCGAGGATGAGGCGCGCGGGGTCGGGGCCGCCCACCGCGCTGCCCAGCAGCAGGTAGTCGGTGCCTGGCTGTAGGCGTAGGCAGCCACAGGCCAGGTCGGCGCGGGGCACCCAGGCGTCCTGGTCGCCGCGGCGCACCGGCCACGCCCGCTGCTTGTAGACGGTCAGCACGTGCACAGCCAGCCGCTGCCACGCCAGGCCCACCGCCTCGGACGCTAGTATCTGCGCGCTGAGAACTGTCGGGAGGGGAGATGTCAGCCCAGGTCTTGGGGAGCTTCCGGGGTACCTCCAGGTCCCGTGGGGTCAGCCACAGTGGGCAGGAGCCTGAGACCCGTGGGTGGGCTTCTGGGATCACGGCGGGGAGAGAAACCTTGAACTTTTGAGAGTTTGTTCCTAAATCGTGAGGGGTGGGGCCTGCTGGTGTAAAGAACTGAATTCAAGGCAAGGAGTTAAAACTACTCTACGGTCGGTGGGGCTGGCGACGGGGCAGAAGAGGCAGGTCCAGGGTCTCTAATACAGTGGGATGAGAAGATGTCAATGGTGGAATTCTTTGGAAAGAGGGGTCACATTGCCGGGGTGGGGGTGGGGGGCTCTGGGATGAATTTGGAGGACCAGAAGGAAGAGAGTGGTCCCTGGAACATGAGGGCTGAGGCCATAGTGATACTGATTAAGAAAAACAATTTTTTTGTGTGTGTGTGATGGAGTCTTACTGTCACCCAGTCTGGAGTGCAGTGGTGTGATCTCAACTCACTGCAGCCTCCGCCTCCCCGGTCGAAGCGATTCTTGTGCCTCAGCCTCCTGAGTAGCTGGGTTTACAGGATCCTACCACCACGCCTGGCTAATTTTTGTAATTTTAGTAGAGACGGGGTTTCACCATGTTGGCCAGGCTGGTCTCGAACTCCTGACCTCAAGTGATCCATCCCGCCTCAGCCCCCACACAGTGTTGGCATTACTGGGGTGAGCCACCGCGCCCGTCCAGAAAAACGTACTTTCTGAGAGACTGGATGGGACTCTGACTAGCAAGCTGGGTCTGCAGGGCAGAAGATCCCTGTAGAAGGTAGGGGAAAGCTTTCCACCTTTGAAGGCCTAGAGCACTAGTGACCAGATTTGGATCTTGAGGGAGAAGAAGTCAGCAGTCCTACACATTGAGAGAAATAGCTGGCATTGGTCTAGATTTGTTGGCTGAGCCAAACTCCCGAGTGTCTAAGAGAGCTGAATGGCCTGAGGTCATAGATGCGAGGGCCGTGGAACAGGTGTGGACTGGGGATTAGAGAACTATGGGGTAAGTCTTTATGGGGAGTGGGGCTAAGGCTCAAATATCTGGGACTGTGAAGGGAAGCAGAAAGGGTCTCTGAAATTGGCAGGACAGGGCAAGAGCTCATTGTATTCAACCAGTTCCCCTGTCTCTTCCATCCCTCAGAGATGTCAGGCTGAAGGAGATGATGAAACTCTGCAAGCCCAAGAACATGGGGCAAGAGGAGACACAGGAAGGTAGGGAACGGCTCCTCCCCATACCCCCTCCCCATTTCTCCTCTGCCTCATTCATTTCTAGATCAGGAAGGGCCCTTTGGAATCCAACACACCTTCCCATTTAAGATGAGAAAGTGGAAGGCCAGAGAGGGGGTGGCTTAGAAGCAGTCATCAGAACCGACTGTGCTGCCTCCAGCTGTCTGTCTCCCCAGCACTCACCATAGTCCTGCTGGCAGTACCTCCGAAGGCTCATGTGTACCCTGGTGTCCGACATATTGCAGTAGTTTTGACACTGAGGGTCTGGAGAGGGTCAGGCTGTCTGCAGTGGGCTCCTGGGGCCTAGACCACAGCCTTCTGCCCCTGCCCATCCCTGTATTCCATCTTGATGACCAGCTGGGGCACCCAACCCTTTGGGACTGGGCTCAATGGGTGACCCATGTATCCCCATCTGGGGACCCAGTCAGCCCATCCCCAGTCCCTGTTGCCACTCAGGGACCTCCATGCCAGACTGTCTTACCAGAGCTGTAAGCACCAGGGGTAGTAGCAAGAGTGGTTGTTGCCTCTGGGATTCCTATGAGACCAAAGGAGAAATTAACCTCTTAGTCATTTTCCCCAGGATCGCCCCCACTCCAGGAATCCAGGCACCCAGAAAGTGTTTATTCCTTTAGGACTCAAGAGTGCAAGTGTCCCTTGCCTTCCTCTCCCGGGACCCAGCAGTCCAGGCCCCCCAAGCCTCCTTTTCCTCAAGAGTCTGGAATTTCAGTCTCTGCTTATCCAAGGACCCAGAGTCCAGCCTCCAGCCTTGGGCTCCCATTTCCCAGGGCCCCAGCCCTCACTGCACCTGCTCACTAGAGACCTGGGATATCTCCTTCCCGCTCTACTCAGGGTTGTGGCCTGGCTCCTCAAGACTCACGCTGGCAGGGCATCCTGGGGGAGCGGCTCTGCTGGTAGCCAGGACCACAGCGGTTGCAGGTTAGGCCTGTGACGCCTAACTTGCAGGTGCACTGTCCACTGGTCTGATTGCAGGTTCCTCCTGTTGCCCCAATAGGGTGGCACTTGCAGGCTATATAAGCAGAGGAGCTGGGGGCATGGGGTATCAGGCCCCAGGTGCCCTTTCCAATTCCACAGCACCTCCTCCCTCAGCCTGGGGAGTCCAGGCCCAGCCCCTCCTCCCTCAGACCCAGGAGTCCAGGCCCCCAGCCCTCTTTTCTCAGACCCCGCAGTCCAGACCCCAGCGCCTCCTCCCTCAACCGCAGGAGTCCAGGCCCCCAGCCTCTTCTTTCTTAGCCCCAGGAGTCCAGACCCAGCCTCTCCTCCCTTAGCCCAGGAGTCCAGACCCAGCCCCTCCTCCCTCAGACCCAGGAGTCTAGTCCCCCAGCCTCTCCTCCCTTAGCCCAGGAGTCCAGGCCCAGCCCCTCCTCCCTTAGCCCAGGAGTCCAGACCCAGCCCCTCCTCCCTTAGCCCAGGAGTCCAGGCCCAGCTCCTCCTCCCTTAGATGCAGGAGTCCAGCCCCACCTCTGTTCTCCCAGGTCTGTCTGCAGGCCACACTCACCCCTGCAGGCCTTGCGGCTGGAGATAGGCTGGCCGGGGTCCCTCCAGAACCCTGGCTGGCAGTAGTGGCAGTGCCGCCCGGCTGTGTGGTGGCGGCACCGCTCACAGACACCCCCACTCCGGCCACCCGACAGCCTGAACAGCTCAGAGTTGAACCGGCAGCGTCGGGCGTGCTGGTTGCAGGAGCAGGCTAGGAGCAAGATGGGGTGGGGCCGCATCAGGGCTGGGTTGGTGCTCCCCAGTCCCAAGCTTTTTCTCCACAGCCCTGCCCTCATGAAAGGAAGCAGTGAGTGTCCAAGGTAGAAGAGAATGCCTGGGTCTCTGGCTAAGCGTGGGTCCCAGAATGTCTCCACTCTCATCTTTGAAATGGGTGGGCTGGGTGCGGTGGCTCACGCCTGTAATCCCAGCACTTTGGGAGGCCAAGCTGGGTGGATCACCTGAGGTCAGGAGTTCAAGACTTGCCTGGACAACATAGCATCTACTAAAAATGTAAAAATTAGCTGGCCGTGATGAATTCGCCTGTAGTCCAGCTAGTCAGGAAGCTGAGATAGGAGAATCTCCTGAACCTGGGAGGTGGAGGTTGCAGTGAGCCAAGATTGCACCACTGCACTCCAGCCTGGGCGACAGAGCCAGATTCCATCTCATAAAACAAAACAAAGAAAGGTACATTGGACTGGAGCTGAGTAAGCCAAGGGGACTTAGGAACCTCCTGAGCATCCGTGAAACTGGGTCCCTAAAGAGTAGGCTGCGTCCAGGTGCAGTGACTCAAACCAAGCTGGGTGAATCACCTGAGGTCAGGAGTTCAAGACCTGCCTGGCCAACATAATATCTACTAAAAATACAAAAATTAGCTGGGCATGGTGTTGTGTGCCTGTAATCCCAGCTGAAGAGGCTGAGGCAGGAGAATTGCTTGAACCCCTGAAGTGGAGGCTGCAGTGACCCAAAATCACGTCACTGCACTCCAGCCTGGCGACAGAGCAAGACTCCATCTCAAAAAAAAATAGGCTGTGGCCTGTGGAATGAGACCCTGCTAGCCCTGTCTGCCCCTCTGACTGTATTCCTGGGCAGGTGACTTCTCCCTCTGTGGTTTGATTGACTGTGAAATGGCATTTATAATGTTTACTTCATGAGGCTTAAATGAGATAAAGTGGATAGAGAGTGCTTAGCCCAGGCCTGGCAGACGGCAAGCACTTGACTGTCAAGCACTCCCACGTGCAGGCATTTTGCAGGCACCCTGGGCTAAGTGCTTGATGTATTTTATCCCCACAAGTGCTCTGTGAGCCTGGCACTATCATCCCATTTTACAGAGGGAGAAAGCTGAGGCACAGAGAGGTACAGCTAGCCGGTAGTTGGAGGCAGGACTTAAACACGGGTTTTCTGGCTTGAGAGTCTGAGCTCTTACCTCACTCTAGGAATACACAGCTCACGAGGATTGTTTAGCATGTACATTGTCCTGGGAGCATTTATCAGGTTTTCTAGGGTGACTCAAACCTTACTACTCATCAGAATTTTCAGGGAAATTTGTTGTTGTTGTTGTTGTTGTTGTTTTTATTAAAACCACAGCAGGGCATAGTGGCCGACACCTGTAAATCCCAGCTACTCTGGAGGCTGAGGTGGGAGGATGACTTGAGCCTGGGAGTTGGAGGCTGCAGTGAGTTATGGTTGCACCACTGCACTCCGGCCTGGGCGACAGAGTGTGACTGTTTATCAGTCTTTTTAGGGTGACTCTCAAACCTTCCTACTCATCAGAATTATCAGGGAAATGTGCTGTTGGTTTTTTTTTATTAAAACAGCACCGCGTTTTGTTTCCTTAAAAAGAAACAAAAAACCTGACCGGGCGCGGTGGCTCACAGCTGTAATCCCAGTGCTTTGGGAGGCCAAGGTGGGTGGATCACAAGGTCAAGAGACGGAGACCATCCTTGCCAACATGGTGAAACCCTGTCTCTACAAAAAATACTGAAATTATCAAGTTGAACGATGAAGAAAAAAAAATACAAAAATTAGTTGGGTGTGGAGGCACACGCCTGTAGTCCAGCTACTTGGGAGGCTGAGGCAGGAAAATCACTTGAACCCGGCAGGCAGAGGTTGCAGTGAGCTGAGATTGTGCCACTGTACTCCAGCCTGGTGACCGAGTAAGACTCGGTCTCAGAAAAAAAGGAAGAAAAAACCCAAACAACAAAAGCTAGGTATCAGGGCTCTTCCCTAGGGTTTCTGGTGGGCCCAGGGATCTGCATTTCCAGCGAGCACTGCAGAGTGAGCTGCTGATACAGGGCATGCATAAACCACTCTTATTTTTTATATTTGAAATAAAGTCTCACTCTATCACCTACTCCAGCTGGAATGCAGTGGTGTGATCACAGCTCACCGCAGCCTCCAACTCCTGGGCTCAGGGGATCTCCCAGCTCAGCCTCCTTGATAGCTGGGTCCACAGGCATGCACCACCACGCCGGGCTACTTTTTAATTTTTTTGTAAAGACGGGGTCTCCTTATGTTGCCCAGGCTCATGGACATTCTTTGAAGAGACTTGACTTCAGGGTGTTTTGACTCTGAGAGGTTTGAGAGCCCTGGACTGACAGATCCTGAGAGCCCAGAAGAGTCACGGGATGATCAGGGAGCTGAGACCAGCTGCATGTTCTGGGAAAACAACTCCCCCTCTCCCAGTCTCTATTTTCTCCCTGTCTAGTGAGATACAGATCCTTCTCTCCCAGGGTTTTCGTGGGCATGGGAGGTGGCAAAGCTATTCCAGTGGTCAGTGATTGAGT